CCAGAAACAGATCCACTGTATACACGATGGCACATCTGTCTTCAGAGGCTGCGAACCAAACATTTCTCTCCATCAGCTTCTACCTAAAACTCTTCCATTGTTATTCTGAAAATGTCTAAGTTATCATTGAAAAGTGCCTCATACTGTCCCAGAATACCATTTCTCTTTCTCCAATAATTTCCCTGCAACACAACCAAAGCATGTCCACGTATGACCCTCCTACAAGGCAGTTGACATTTGCCCCTTGTCTACACCTATCTCATCATACCCCGCCTGCTCCCACATTGCCCAGGGACCTGAAGAGCTCCACAGAGACGTACATTCCTTCGGACCTCATCACTCCCTTCCCCTCTCTCTTCCCCTCCTTTTGTCATGCTTCTGTCAATACCACCATTGCTTCTTCCACTTCTTGATATTTTCCTTTCAGTAATTTCTGTCACTCATGCAACCAAAAAAATCCCTTATAAAGGAGATCTAGGATGAGGACTTTTTTTTTAAAAAAAGATTTTTTTAATTTATTCATGAGACCCACACAGAGAGAGGCAGAGGGAGAAGCAGGTTCCCTGCGGGGAACCCGATGAGGGACTCGATCCTGGGACCCTGGATCACAACCTGAGTCAAAGGCAGACGCTCAACTGTTGAGTCACCCAGGTGCCCCTGGTATGAGTACTTTTTAATTTGGCAAGGACAAAAGAACTGCAGTCCATAGGTCAAAGAGGCAACTGGAGGAATAATTCATCACCAAGCTTCTGGAATGACCCAGAAATCTCTTAGCATGATGGAAATGCCACTGAGTTCAGGTTGGGGTCAGCAGACATGGGCTCTAATCTGCTTTTGTCAATAACTCTGACTCTGGCTAAATGATAAACGCTGGAAATCTCATTTTCCACCCAAATGTTTGCTCACTTTGAAAATTTAAATGTTCATAATAGCAGAGCTCTTGTTCCTTCACAGAACTGTAAAGATAAGATGGTTCTGAACTCAAGGTATTTTGGAAATTAAAGAATAATATTCAACAATCTTGGCTCCTGCCTTCTTTTTTTTTTTAAGATTTTATTTATTCATTTGAGAGAGAGTGAGAAAGAAAGAGAAAGATGAGTATGAGAGGGGAAAGGCAGAAGCAGATTCCTCGCTGAGCAGGAGCCAGACATGGGACTCCATCCCAGGAGTCTGGGATCATGACATGAGCCGAAGGCAGATGCTTAACTGACAGAGCCCCCCAGGTGCCCCTTGGCTCCTTTCTTAAAGACAAAAAAGATGTGGGGCAAGTGCAAAAATGCCACTTGAGGAGTAGCAGATGAGGAGACCCTGGCCAGAGTCTTCTGGTATGTCTGGAGAGTGAAGTATTTTTTTTGTTTTCAGTTAAATCTTTATTTTTCTTTTTAAAATTTAAATTCAATTTGCCAACATATGGTATAACACCCAGTGCTCATCCCATCAAGTGCCCATCACCAGTACCCCATCCCCCCACCCAGTGAACTACCTTTTATTTATTTTTATTTATTTTTTTAAAGATTTTATTCATTTATTCATGAGAGACACAGAGAGAGAGAGAGGCAGACACAGGCAGGGTCACATCCTGGGCCGAAGGTGGTGCTAAACCACTGAGCCACCCGGGTTGCCCGTGATCTAACTTTTATATAAAGAAGGAAACAAAATGAAACAGAACTGGAGTTGGAACCTTGGGATTCATCTAACGAAACCCATATATAAAATGTTAATTCTAACTATCCCCTACTGTCTGGCCTCTGCTTAACTAATTTGGGGCCAGGGCATTACTTCCTTGGCAGCAGTTGTGTGATCTGCATAATTACATAACTGACGGAGCCTATAATCTACACTCAAAATGTTTTCACTTAAAAAAACAACAGGAAACAGGAACATCTTGAACTGCACATCGAGGCTCAACAACATTTGCAAAGGACAGAGATGCCTATGTCAGTTGCTTTGGGATCAGAATTTTTGATGCTTTAACGAGAAAATAAAGGTCTAAAAATCATTGTGGACTTCTGGTTCAAGCCATTTCAGCACACTCACTAACGCTCCCACTTCCCTCCAATTCCCACAGAGATGATCAAAAGAATAAAATAGGGAAACCATCAGTGCTGAGAAATGGGCATGGACAGCATCCACACACAAAAACTACAGGTGATTTCTGTAACATAAAATATAGGCCAGATATACTGAGGATAGGGAGCAGCAAGCCATCCATGTGCTATGAAAAAGCCCAATTAGAAAGAAAGCAGAAGAGAGGAAACCTCAATCTATGGGGTTCCTTCAGAAAATATATTGTGTCAGAGCCCATGGAGAGCAAGAATTTAAGGGTGAGTTACACTTGGCTTAGAGTCCATCCTAAGTGAGGGACCTCTGAGGCTGGTTCCCAATCAAGGGAATCGTTCTAGTTAGAGACAGGGGGATGCTGCCCCCACTACTGTTGGGCTACCAAAACAAATATACAAGAGAAACTCAGTTTCTCAGAAAAACAGAGAAACTCCTTATTATAGCCATCTCCAATGGCTCTCTCTGTAATTCGCTGCTGGCTTGTCAAAAATCAAAATATAAAATATTGTCAAAAATTTTAGGCAGATCATTACACATAAATAAACACAGGACTCAATTTCAGTAAAGCCCAGTGTCATGCATGGGAAACAGAAAACGTGGAAGGCCGAGATCTTAGGCCAGTGATCCCACCACAACCAGAGATGGGAAGCCTCTGTGGTTGCCTAGAGGCAACTTCATACAGCATCACTTCATGCAGCTCCTACAACTCTGCCAAGTACAGAAGACTTACTCTCATTTTATAGACTTGGCAACCAACAGTAATTAGTGTACTTACTGAAAAAAGATAATGAGATATAGAAGTTATATTTACTTCCTGGAGAGGTTTCCTAAGTTTTCAGAGACCCTGGTTCTATGAAGTGTGAGAACTTAGTAGCTGAGTGTCCCAACTGGCAGATTTCAATGGTCACAATTCCTGGGTAACAGTCCAGGCAGTGGGGATATAAAAGTTAACAAATGTCACCTTATTAAGATTGGTGACAGACAATGATTTCATCTAGAGGGGCTGCATTAACAGTGGTTACTCCTACCCCATACCTCTTGGCATGAGAGGCTAAGGAACAGATGTCAGGCATCCAAAACAACGTGTAACTCAAATGAGGCATTTACAGAAGACCTATTTTATCATCTACATTAGGCCTTGGGAAGCAGAGGAGGATCTTAAGAGTCTAAGTTTCCTGACTTATAATCTAGGGTCCTTTCCATTTGTAGTGGACTCTTAAATTACCTCCTCAGCATGTTATGCTGGCCCACTTTCGTTTGGTAATCCACGTAGTTTCTGGAAAGCTGACTCAACCCAACTTCTCTCCTGGGTCTAAGCCAGCAAATGGGCACATTCCATCTCCTTCGCCACAGTGACAGGTGTAGGGACAAGCATGTCGTTGAAATTAGTTAGCAAGAGTGAATCTTATTATGATTTTTGCTGGAACAAAGATGAATGCAAGGAACAGTCAGGAGAGCTCTTGCAACTATGTAGAAAGTCACTCTTGGAAGGAAGCCAAAAACAAGAAAGGAGGGGCAAAGATGAAAACAAACCAATTCTTTGAAAACAGGGCTGTCCTCAGCCTCTCTTGAAGCCCAACCTGCTTCAAGACTTTTCAGTTAGAAGATTCCGGAACCCCAGAACTGACAAAGATCTAAATTATAATTTTAGGTTCCCCATGTTAACTTCAAAACATTATCACAAATAAGCCGGTTATGTAATAAAAACTGCATACATCAAAACCATGTAAAATAGAGAGCATGAGTCCTTAGACCATGGACCTCCCAATCTTGACTGGTTTCTCTGCTTCTAGTGGAAACTATAATGGTGAACCAAACCCCTGAGAGAGAAGGTCTGCGGTGCTGGTGCCATCAAGTGACTTAGATCACATGGTTTCTCCTGCCTGACACTGCTGCAGCAGACCAACTTTACCTGTAGTTGTGGAAAGGGGCTGTTTCCTATTCCTCACACCTGACCCTGGAAGTGAAAAATCTCTCAATATTGGTATGATCAGAAGAAAAATCAGGGTTGAATCAATCAACATTTCAAAAGCATCGTGTTGGTGAAATACTTAAACAATAAACATTTATTATATATGCTTTATCTCATTTGTCTACATATTAATATATACTTATTTTTTTGGCTGCATTTTTTTCTTCTTTTCTTTCTTTTTCTTTCTCTCTTTCAAAGTAAACTCTACCCCCAACATGGAGCTCAAACTCACAACTCTAAAATCAAGAATCACAGGCTCTACTGACTGAGGCTTGGCTACACTATTTCAACACGAGTTATAGAAATCTTACCCGTAGAGGCACCTGGGTGGCTCAGTAGGGTAAGCATCTGCCTTCAGCTCAGGTCATGATCTCAGGGTCCTGGGATTGAGCTCCACATCACTGCTCAGCAGGGAATCTGCTTCTCCTTCTTCCTCTGCCCCTCCCCCACTTCATGCTAGCTCGCTTTCTTTCTCTCAAATAAATAAAAATCTCTAGAAACAAAAAAGAAATCTTACTCCTAAATAATACTTTTTTTAAGTAGGCTTCACGCCCAACGTGGGGCTTGAACTCACGACCCTGAGGTGAGAGTTGCATGCTCTACCAGCTGTGCCAGCCAGGTGCTCCATCCCCTAAATACTTCAGCATGCATCTCCTTGGAATAAAGACATTCTTCTATAGAGCTACAGTACCATTATCATATGATTCCCTAATATCTAATACACTTGTTAAATCCAAATGGTTTTACTAGTCCCCAAAATATCATCTATAGTTGATGTTTTTGAACCACAACCCAATAAATATTTATGCATTATACTTGTTTTTTATGTGTTCTTTAGTCTCAAACTGAAGGAAAAAATGTTTACATTTTCCAAAAATATTTAATGCAATTCATTGTCAAATGAGATATCTTCCTCTACGTTAGTCTACACAAACTCCTGGAGAACAGACCCAAGAGAAGAACCTACCTGGGGGGCTAAGAAGCAGAAGAACCTCCGTGTGCTCCATAGCCTGCAGGAAGTCACTCAGTTCTGTGACCGTACAACCTTTCTCACCCATCAGCTTCAGTAAACATAAGCTTGGACTTCCTTCAGGCTCCAAGACCTTAAGAGAACACTGCTCCAAGTCCAGACAACTGCAAACAACAGATTTAATTCAAGTCAACAGGATTCTCCAACAAGATATGCCTGCTACATGTCTGGTATGAACTGCTGTAGGGATAAACTGTAAGTCACCGGTGCAGTTATTTACGTTATGAATGCTCCTGTCCTTTCCTTCTTCTGCCATCATAGAGGATTCCTCTTTATGCCCTTCTCCAACTCAGCTCCTGTGACTACTAAATTAGAAGATGAGAGAAATCTTGAAACAGGATAGAAGTTTGGCTTTGATGTCAATAAAAATTTTTATCTAATTTGGGAATACTGATTAGAAAGACCAGATACCTTTCTCTACTCATTCTTATGCTTTTATAAAGTATAATATGACCCAAGAAAGAGGCATTTTGAAAAATGAAAAAACTTAATATACAGTATTTTGTATTAGCAAAGTAGTGTGCTTACATATATAATCAATATGAGTAAAGATAAGGAAGAGTGTTTGTTCTGCATGATATCATTTTTATTAGTAAGAATATATATTTGTTCTTATATGTACAGAGTTAACTTTGACAAGATAGCCAAGAAGCCAGTAGTAGTAATTCTCCTACAGAGGAGAGCCAGGGCAGCTGGAGGATTCACTTTTTACTATAAACTCTTGTGTACCGTCAAATTTTTCTTACTATGTGTGCTCATTTTTTCAACAGTTTTTAAGACTAGCAGTACTGCTAACATTCAAAGTACTTCTAAGCATCTAGAAATACCTTAATACAGGGGCAAGACAAACTCTGGTCTGTGGATCAAACCCACCCAGCCACCTGATCTTGTAAACAGTTTGGCTGGAACACAGCCTCACTCGTTCACATACGTATTTACAGTGGTGGATGGCTGCTTTCCGTTGTAACAGCAGAGGTGAGCAGTTGGTCCACAAAGCTGAAACACATGGACTATTTAGCTCTTTGTAGAAAAAGTTTGCTGACCTCTGTCCCAAAGAACCTACTCTCTGTCTCACTGCCCTTTTGTTAAAACTATTCTTTTAACTATCACTAATTTTTATTTATTTTTATTTAAATTTAATCTGAGCCAACACATAGTACATCATTAGTTTCAGATGTGGTTTTCAATAATTCATCAGTTGCGTATAATACCCAGTGTTCATCACATCACATACTACCACTATTTATTTATTTATTTATTTATTTATTTATTTATTTATTTATTTATTTATTTTTAATTTTATTTATGATAGTCACACACACACACAGAGAGAGAGAGAGGCAGAGACATAGGCAGAGGGAGAAGCAGGCTCCATGCACTGGGAGCCCGACGTGGGATTCAATCCCGGGTCTCCAGGATCGCGCCCTGGGCTAAAGGCAGGCGCTAAACCGCTGCGCCACCCAGGGATCCCCGTACTACCACTATTTAACATACATATACCATTTCCTTTTCAATGTCATTGTGTTCAGTAGGCATATATAAGGTTAGAAAGACAGGCTAAGGTCAGACAACAGAAAGTCATAAATAACAGGACAAGGAGTATGGACTTCAACCATTTCATAGGAAGGGAAAGCACAAGTATGAAACATTCAAGAGAAGAAAAACAAGAAAGTTAAACCAAACAATCAAAACAACAACAAAAACCCCAAAATCTTCCCAAAGAGACATAACCAACAACAAAGGCCAACCAAAGCCTTTAGATAATCTCCATGACATATTGCAGAATTCGTACCTCACACACCTTTGCAGCGACCTCTCCCTTTCCTGCCAATTTAAATTCTAGTCCAATATATAAACTAGTTTCTCTGTGGAGTTCACCCAGACCACACAAGTCCCCCAAACACAGGTTAGAGTCGCCTCATGGTGCTTATCTTACATATTAAAGGTTGGCAAATTTCAGTAAAGTGCCAGAGGGAACATATTTTAGGTTTTATGGGCCATACAGTCTAGCGCATGTTTTTCTTTCTTGGCTTTTGTTTTGTCTTACAATTTTTTAAATATAAAAATAAATCTTAGCTCATAAACTGCAAGAACAGGCAGTAGCCCAAATCTGGCTCACGGATTGTTGTTTGCAGACCTCTGTTTTCTAGGTCTCAATTGACACAATTTTGCCTTAAAACTGTGTGCTTTTCTTTCATAGGCATGTCTTCTCTACCTAACCAGATCGTAGTACTCCTAGAAAACAGAAACCCCATATTTTAAACCCCTCAATACCTAAAATCTGCCTTGCCCACATTCATTGTTTGTATCTGAATGATTATGGAGTGAATTTCAATCATAACTAAAAAGGCTGGACGACTAGATGGAAGGAGTCAGATACAACAGCATCACAGCTGTGCCAGATGCATGGTAAGCAAGTTTTTGTATGACTTGGAATTTTTTTTTTTGTTTACGAGAGAGAGAGTGTGCACAGGTGCACAGGTGTGCCCATGCATGCAGGGGGTGGTAGGGTAGGGTGGGGGGAGAGAGGGATAGAGAGAGAATTGTAAGTAAGTAGGCTCCATGCCCAGTGTAGAACCCATCGTGGGGCCCGATCTCATGACCTTGAGATCAAGAGCTGAGTCAAAATCAAGAGTTGGACATTTAACCAACTGAGCCACCCAGGTGCTCCTGAATATTCTTAATCCACATTCATTTTGATCAGTTTTATTAAAAGGCTACCATAGCATTTATATTAATGGTCACTCAAAATTTTAAATTCTGTGGTGAAGTTGGTAATCTCATAACTTTAGGGAAAAAAATGTATTCAACCAAAATAATTTCAATCCCGGATCATCCATCTCACAGGATTATTAGAATTAAATTAGATAATCCATGCTAGAAGTACTTAGAACAGTGACTGGCAAATAATAAGCATTCAATAAAAGGGAGTTCTTGGGGGATCCCTGGTGGCTCAGTGGTTTGGTGCCTGCCTTCAGCCCAGAGTGTGACCCTGGAGTTCCGGGGATCAAGTCCCGCATCGGGCTCCCTGCATGGAGCCTGCTTCTCCCTCTGCCTGTGTTTCTGCCTCTCTCTCTCATGAATAAATAAATAAATAAAATCTTTAAAAAAAAAGGGAGTTCTTATTATGCAGTAGAAATATGAGATATTAAAAGAACATTAATTTCCTAATTATGCTGATTTCTGAAACTGTTTTAGCTTTTCCTTAAAACTGTTTTTGAGTAGTTACTAGTTTGGTAATCCGATCATGTTGTTCAAGGCCTCTTGTCTCTAAATTCACTAGGTTTTCCTTTCTAAGTGTCTCAGATTTATGTGTATATTCAATACCCTATTTTTGTTAAATGTGACTCATCATTACATAGGTCAACTGTTCCCAAAATCTGGACTGTAGACTAGTGGCAGCATAATCTGAAGTCCATGGTAAAATGATAAAAATAAGGACTATATGACTGCCTTTTACTTCAAGATGGTCTTTCCTATTTTTTTAGAGTTAAAGTGTCCTTTCTTTTATGGAATAATGGTGACTATGATGACAGCAACAATGAAAGCTGGGGAGGGATGCCTGCTGGTCCTCTATTCTGTAAAATTTTCTTTCATTAGTTCCTATAACACCCAGGTCAAGAAACCAGTATTAGAGACAATAGAAGGATTACTATTCTTTTAAATAATTAGAATTAAGATCTATAAAAACAAGGATGCTGTATGCTAAATATACACACACGCATTTTTTTATGATTCAGAAAGGTAGTCAGAATCTGGTACATAAAATTCAGAAGCCATCTCATCAAATGCAGCCAAGTGATGCTTTGATGTTTATACTGATACAGAAGAAAGAGAAAAACAGTTTGACTTCTTTCTTCCAAATGAAGAAAGAGGCCAAGCTGAAGTAGACAAAAATTTCCAATACAAGAGGCACGGGAGAAAAACAAGATTCTGTATCTCCTTTCCTTTTTTACCGACTTTCTGCACGGGCCCTGGCTTTCAGCTAAAATGATGCCTCTACATACCCAGACCCTTTCTTTCCTTTTTTAGTTACATTCCTGTAAGACTATACTTTGAAGTGGTTTCTATCAGCCCTAATTTGGAATTTCTCATTTAAGTTCAAAGACTATTACCGAAACAAACGGGTTTTGCTTTTAAGAAAAAGTATTCATCTTCACTATAAAAAAATATGTACCCAAATAAAACACATCATGCATTCCTTGGGGTACAAATCATGGCCCCGCTTTCAGGTTCTTTTGCTTCTCTTCTTGGAACATTTACTCTTTGAAATCTCTATTCATTAACTCAGCAACTACTTATTAGTCATCTAAAATAGGCCAACCATTTTTTCTAGGTTCTTTAGGATACTGTAGCAAACAAGACAAAATTCTCTATGATCCTGGATTTTACTCCAAGATACACACACACACACACACACACACGCACAGGCAGGCATGAGAGGTGTGTGTGTGTGTGTGTGTGTGTGTGTGTGTGTGTGTGTCCATCCAATGGTCGTAAGTGCTCTGGAGCAAAACAAAGCAAAGCAGGGGGATAAGTAATGCTGGAGTGGACGTACCGGGTGGTTTTAAATAATGTGATCACAGAAGACCTCATTGAAGGAGGTGACTTGTGAGCAAACACTTGAAGAGGTAAAGGAGGGAAGTCAGACAGTTCTCCTGTGGAGACTATCTCAGATGGAGGAAACAGCAAGTACAAAGACCCTCCCGTGTTCAAGTCAAAAGCGAGAAAGCAAGTGTGCTGAGAGCAAAGAAAGGGAGGAAGACAACAGGGTCCAAGAGATAAGTGGTTAGCTAACTGGTGTTTTTATACTGAAACAGAAAAGCAGTTAAGGGGTTTTGAGCAGAAGAAGGGTAAGACTCGACTGAACCTTTTAAAAGTAGTAATAATTCTCACTGCCATGCTGAGAACAGCCTGGGGGCAGGGGCAAAGTGGGAGAAGGCAGGCAGCTCCTGGAATGATCCAGGTGAGAGAGGCTGGACTCCGGATGCACAGGAGGTACAGCAGACGAGGGTCGCTGAGAACACGGATGTGCTGTGTAAAAGCGGAGTCGGGGCTGATGGTGAAGTTTTGGGCCTGAGCGATCGGAGGGGTGCAGTCGCTATTTCCCGAGATAAAGAAAACTGCATGAGAAAGACGGCTGTGGAGGAAGAAGTGCTAAGTTTTGGAGGGGTTCAAAGCAAAGATAGGAACCAAGAGTAATCCACCCTGAGACTTAAGGATACACCAAGAAGGGGACTGGGTGAGGACGTGTAGGTGGAGACACAAGGCCTGAACCCTACAGCACTCCAAATTTCTGACACTGAAGAGACAGGAGATCTTTTGTTTCGGCTTTTCACAGGTTCTCATGCTTATAAACTGTGTGAGGGCAGAAATCTGCAGCTGAAGACGCCTTCAGTGCAGCAGGTGCGCAGTGACGGGTCTCCTTGGCCCACATCCCACAGCCCCCTTCCAAGCTCTGCATGGAGTCCAGGCAGCAGGAGAGCCTCCTGAAAGTTCTGGCACCTCCAGGGCTCCGAGGTCCCACACCAGCACACAGTTTACGTAGCTTGGCCAAGACACTCGGAACCTGCATCTAGCTGCACTGACAGCAAAGGCTGTTCAGTAGCAGGGTGGTTAGGAGTGGAATTAGGGCTGAGTTTGTAATTAGGGCATTTCCGTGTGCACACGGTCGTGGGAAGCTAAAGCATAATAAGCCTGGATGGACTCTGAGTCACCCAGAATCGTATGAAGACATTTATTCCTAATCTGTGAGAGACCGTTCAGGATGGGCTCTTGTGGTCGATTCAGCAAATTTTCATCTATTTGAGGAAACATGTATAGAGTCAGAAAAAAAGTGGAAAGAAACAATAGGCAACCTGTGAAGACCTTAGGGAAAAAGTCCACATCCTCATGGGAACTGTGGTCCACTTGGACTGTCACTCTTTAATTCCTCGATCTCACACTAGAGAAAAATATCTTTGGGATTTTCTGCTATCATAGATACTCTTCTAGTACCAATATGAAATTACTCTGAAATAGCTTTTCTTGGTTTTACATAGAGAAAGCGTCCCCAGCTTACCTTGCTCCTCAGATGTCACTCTCCAGTCCCTTAGTTTCCAGGGCTGCCCTTCTGTTATGCCAGCTTAATTCTGATTTTGTTAATGTTCTCCTATTTTATTTTCCAGCCTGCAGAGGTGCCCCCACTCCCACCATCACTCACCTATTCTTTTTTTTTTTTTAATTTTATTTATTTATTCATGATAGTCACAGAGAGAGAGACAGAGAAGCAGAGACACAGACAGAGGGAGAAGCAGGCTCCATGCAGAGAGCCCGACGTGGGATTCGATCCCGGGTCTCCAGGATCGTGCCCAGGGCCAAAGGCAGGCGCCAAACCGCTGCGCCACCCAGGGATCCCTCACTCACCTATTCTGAACTAATCTTCATCAACCTGGAAGTCTAGTGAAATCCCATCTATCTATCTTTCTTTCTTTCTTTCTTTCTTTCTTTCTTTCTTTCTTTCTTTCTTTCTTTCTCTCTTTCTTTCTTTCTCCTCCCTCCCTCCCTCCTTTCTTTCTTTCCTTTTTTTTTTTTTTTAAAGATTTTTTTATTTATTTATTCATGATAGTCACAGAGAGAGAGAGACAGAGAGGCAGAGACACAGACAGAGGGAGAAGCGGGCTCCATGCAGAGAGCCCGACGTGGATCGATCCGGGTCTCCAGGATCGCGCCCCAGGCCAAAGGCAGGCGCCAAACCGCTGCACCACCCAGGGATCCTCCCTCCCTCCTTCTTCCTTCTCCTCTTTCTCTCTCCTTCTCCTTCTTCTTCCTTCCTTCCTTCCTTCCTTCCTTCCTTCCTTCCTTCCTTCCTTCCTTCCTTTCTCTTTCCCCTATCTGTTTCTTTTCAGACCTCCCACCCTGGAATTTGCCAGATTCTAGGAATATATGCACTTTGTTGCCTGTCACCCCTTGCGAGGCTGCTGCCCTTCTCTCCATACTACCTTCATCAGAGATGTGGCCTCAGATTTTTTATTAGTTTACCAAACAAACCATTCTGTAGCCTTTGGGAAAACCCAACTGGAGGCTTGGGGAGGAACACTGAGCGCGTGATGTCAGGTACCCATCACTTTCTGATTCCATCAGGCAAGCTTCTTCAGCCGCAGGGCCTTCCTTTCTTTTCTTTCCTCCACTGCCAAATTAGGAGTACTCATTCCCAGGCCCTCCTCAGCAGAGTCCAGAGCCTTCTCTAACTAGCATACGAATCACAAACTAACCAATCCCAGATCTGATGATATGATCTCCAAAGAAGAAAACATTTTTCTGTTAAGTCTAGAAATTCAGAAACCTATGGACCTAATGTAATAGTATTTTGGATTTTTCTTTGCACAACCTAAAAGAAGCATGTTCCCCCCCCCCCCCCCGGAACAGAAAATTGTGCCATCTGTCCGCTCAACTTTGTGAGTTTACCACTTCTTAATTCCAACCTCACATGTGGCCAAAGAACCCTAAATCATCATGACCCCAGTTTAACCCCAAACTCTGAAACTCGAGGTTGTTGTGAGGGTTAAAGTAGATAATACATGGAGATGCTTAGTGCATTAGTATACACTAAGTGTTCAATAAATGATAACCTATTGTTATTATCACTATTCACATCCCACATAGCGTTTTGGACATGTTATTTGTGAATGCCCCGGAATAACAGTTCATTACTAGGTAGGCCCCTTGTGAATAGGAATAAGATATTTGTCATCTTTTTATCCTTTGGAACGTCCAGCTCATAATAGGCCCTGAAAACAAACATAACTGTGAATGAATGACTCCCCTTTCCAAAGTATTTACTCCAAAGTGCCTAAGACAGGTTCCATGCATAGAACACAGAATCTTCACTGATGCCTCCTGTTCTCAAGGAGTTTGTCAAAAGACGGAGAAATAATTACAGTACAAGCCAAGGTTTAGTCATACAAGGAGTTACAAGAACTTCTCAGGGATTCCCAGGCAGACCAAAATCCCAACAACGGTACAGAGGAGTGGTTCAAAGTGTGGTCTGGGCATCTCTCGTGCAGTTCCTGGGACCCTGGCGCCGCAAGGTCAAAACGGTCTTTCACAGGAACACTGAGATGCTATTTACCGTTTTCATCTACCTTCGGAGGAAACGTACACTTTGGAGCATCCTGCGTTCCAGGGCCCGGGATACAGCGCAGCCGCAGCCGAGTGAAGGCAGCAACACGGAATAGGGACCCGACGTGCAAGGGACCTTCACAACGTAAAACAAAGCCTCTTGTCTAACTAATTTTTGCCTGCTTTGGAAAAGCCTCTTTTTCCAAAAAAGAAAAACACGTCACTTCTGTGAACACGTAACAGATCATTCTTTTTTAAAAAGTCAGCACATTAACGTTTCTTGGTCAGTGTCCCCCCTAGGTATGCGGGTGGCACACGGAACCCGCAAGCAGCCCTCTCCGGGGTCCTCGGGACTTGCCGGCGTGAAAACAAGTCCCGACACCCCAGGGCGGCCGCTCCGAGCCCGGGAAGAGGCCAACGGTGTTGCTTCCAGCCCCGTCCCTCGGGCCCTCGAGAAGGGGCCCCGGGAGGCCGGTCCGATGGAGGGAGGCGGCGAGCTCCAGGTTCGGCCTTTCCCACCACGGCGTCGCCCGCAGCCCCCCTGCAGGACCCGCCCCCGCGCCCCCGCTGCCCCCGCTGCCCCCGCTGCCCCCGCTGCCCCCGCTGCCCCCGCTGCCCCCGCCCCCACTCGCCGCGCAGGCCCCGCGCCCCGCCCTCACCTGAGCCGGAGGCGCCCCCGGCTCCCCGCCACCTCGGCCAGCCTCCTCCAGCCCCGGCCCTCGGGCGCTCGGTCCAGGCTCCCGCCGAGCCTCCGCAGCAGCGGCTCCGGAAGGCGGTTGAGGGTCGCGCCGCCAGGCGCGGGGAGCGGCGGCCCCGAGGGCGCGGCCGGGGGCGGCTGCGAGCCCGGGGGCGGCGGGGCCTGCGGCGGGGCCTGCAGCAGCTCCCCGCACAGCGAGCCCGCGAGCGCCGCGCCTCCCGCCGGCCGCATCGCCGGCCTCGGCTCCGCCGCGCCTTCCGCTCGCCCCCTCGCTCGCCCCGGCGCCGCGGAGGCAGGGGCGGAAGGACCAGCCCAGCCGCGCCGCAGCGCTCTCGGAGGAGGAAGCTCCGCCGCCCGCCCCGCCGACACAGCTTTGCCGGGGCCGCCGGCCGCTCCGCCCCGCCTGCTGCGCCGGGGGCGGGGCCGGGGCCGGGGCGGGGCCTGGGATGGGGCGGGGCCCGGGCGGGGCGGAGCCGACCCCCTGTGCGCGCGGCTGCGGGAACCTGGTGCTGCGCCAAGGGGGCGGGGCCGGGGCCGGGGCGGGGCCTGGGATGGGGCGGGGCCCGGGCAGGCGGGGCCTGGGCGGGGCGGGGCCGGGCGGGCGGGGCCGACCCCCTGTGCGCGCGGCTGCGGGAACCTGGTGCTGCGCCAAGGGGGCGGGGCCTGGGGCGGGGCGGGGCCTGGGATGGGGCGCGGCCCGGGTGGGGCGCCTAGGGGGCGGGGCCTGGGGCGGGGTCACTCCCTGCGCGCTAGGCCTGGGTGCTGCGCCGAGGGGGCGGGGCCCGGGCGGGGCCATTCCCTGCGCGCGGCCCTGGTGCAGCGCTGAGGGGGCGGGGCCTGGGCGGGGCGGCTGAGACGCGCGGCTCCGGGGCGGGGAGGTGGGGTCGGGGCTGAGCGGGAAGGTCGCGGCGGCTGCCGCTGGCGGAGGAAGCCGTGGAGGGCAGCGCCCGGGCGGCTGGGCTCCGGCGAGGACGCCCGCGGCGTCGGGGCTTCCCAGGCCGTGGGAGGAGGGTTGCCTCACTCCGGGGACGCGGGGAGGGCGCCCGGCGCCCCAGCGCCCGCCCGGCCGCGCTCAGCTGACTCCGTGACTCGGTGCGGCCCGCGGCGCCACCCGCAGCCGCGTTGGGCGACCTCAGGGGAGGCTTCCCCGTTTAGGGTTTGATGTGTAGGCATTGCTAAGGGAAGTGGTTCCTAGACATCAGATACCTAATGGAAATTTGCTCGAAATCTGTGCCTACACTTTTTTTTTTCTTAACTGGATGGCAGATCTTGCAAATGATTGTTTTTAGCAGGAATTGTCTGGTTTCCTCCGAGTCTGACTGCCCCCCATTGAAAACTGTGGAGTAGCCTGGGGCAAAAGCAAGCAGCTCCTGAAATGCGACCGCAGCCAGATTGCCGCCCTTCCCCTCCAACTTCTGGTGCCATTCGTTTTTTCGTCACACAGGACAGCAGGATCTCCTGCACCCAACTCTTGCAGCCTTCTGGCGAGGGAGTTGATCCCTGCCGTCTCCCATCACGTTAAGCACAAGCAATCGCTATACTTTTTTTCATCCGGTGTAAATGCAGAGTTCAGAGAATGCAACGGCTAAGTGCCTTTAGATCCGGAAAGATCTGCTGGAGTCTAGTTTTATGACCTTGAATAAGTTACTTAACTCTCTGCCTCACCTGTTAAAATGGGACCGAAGACACAGTAGTGGGTATAAACTTGTTACCAGAATTAAGGGAGCTGATGATGTACCTAAAGCACCTAACTCTGCTTGTCACATAGTAGGTGACAAATGCTAGTTTTTATCTTTACAAACGCTAAAGCCTGTTTCATACTCAGCTTGACTTGATACCCTTTCCCGGACACTTCTTGGTGCCTCCCTGTTTTGTTCTTAGTCATCGGACATATAGGAGAATCTATTAGCTTGCATGGGCCAGTTATGGAAATCAAGTCTTTTAGTTTTTACTGGTCTAGTCTTTATTAGTCAACTAGTCTTTTAAAATTGGGATTCAGGGGATCCCTGGGTGGCGCAGCGGTTTGGCGCCTGCCTTTGGCCCAGGGCGCGATCCTGGAGACCCGGGATCGAATCCCACGTCGGGCTCCCGGTGCATGGAGCCTGCTTCTCCCTCTGCCTGTGTCTCTGCCTCTCTCTCTCTCTCACTGTGTGACTATCATAAATAAATAAAAATTAAAAAAAAATAAAATTGGGATTCAACCGGCTTCTTTTCTCTAAGTCTGCTATGTGCTCAACGTTGCTTATGCAGCTTCTCAAATGTGCCTAGGGGTCAAATGCACATCTATCTTATTCTGCACATCTATCTTATTCACCCTGGGAATCCTTCCTTAATTTGATCAGGTGCTTCTTTATCCACATAGCTCAGCTAGATACTGACGGTGTCCATCCCCTCCCATGTCCTCCTCACCCACTCTTCTCCTGCCAGCAGGACTGCCTCCCGCATTTCATTCTACTCTGGGTCCTGTTTTCCACCTTGAAGTTTTGTTTTATTTTATTTTATTATTTTTTAAAGATTTTATTTATTCATGAGAGAGAGAGAGAGAGAGAGAGAGGCAGAGACATAGGCAGAGGGAGAAGCAGGCTCCATGCAGGGAGCCCAACGTGGGACTCGATCCCAGGTCTCCAGGATCACGCCCTGGGCTGAAGGCCGCACTAAACCGCTGAGCCACCCGGGCTGCCCCCATTTTATTTTTTTAAGTAGACTCTAACCCCCGACATGAGGCTTGAACTCACAACCTCGAGATCAAGAATGCCATGGTCTACTGACTGAGCCAGCCCGGTGCCTCCTACCTACCTTGCAGTTTTATAACCTATTCAGTCACCCCACCCGCCACCCTCCAACCTCTGCCATGGACTGACATTACATCTTACGATTGGTCTTTTTCTCCTCTTAATCAAATATTAACATTTTTATTATGTAATTTCACCCCCTGTGGTTCTCTTAAGGGGCATGACAGTTTAATAGGGAAAATTATGACCTTTAGAATTAGCCCTGAATTTGAATGTTGATGCTGCCACTTACTAGAGACATGACTTTAGGCAAGTTACTTTAACCTCTCAGCTTCAATTTCTACATCTGTAAAAGCAGAAGATAATAGTACCTGCTTCAAATGACTCTGTGAGAATGAAATGAGAGAAAATAATGTATACATATAAAAAGTGTCTGGGAGAAGTAGATGCAGGGTATGTTAGTACTCTCAAAACTGCCACATTAATTTTGGGAACAAGGTAATAAGCAGTAATTCCACTTCCTTTCCTATGCTAACCATTGCAATCATACGTAGATAGGAGTAAAATGGAGAGTGGAGATCTGGCTTTTAAATGCACCTTCAAAGTTCATGCATATCTTTAGATGATATGCTTGGGAGCTCTTCCTCATTTGTTAAAAGTGACATAGATCATTGTAATCCAGACAATCTGCAAGAAGCTTGTGGTTTCTTTCTATGGAAATCCATTGATGTAATCTTCAAAATACAAATCTGGAAACTGACTCACAAGTTTCTTTTCCTTTACAGAATTTGACTTTAGATGGTATTCTAACTAAATACGCCAGGACAACATGTTATTTCATATCTGGACAGGTTTTCAAAGGCCGGGTGCAGGAGGAAACCTGCAAGTCCTGGGACTGGTGTACAATGGAGGGGGAGGATGCAGAAGTCCTGTAACTTACATGGCACCCCTGTCTTTCACCCTCATTCCATAACCAGTACCCTTCATGTCCTCTGGCTCTGCTCTGTGTTGAGGCCACTCAGTGCACCCTCAGAAACAAGGCTCTCCACACCCACTGCAGTCCCTTCTTGCTGCCATCTCCCAAAGAATTAGGGGCACTTTCCCATTTGGATTTCAACTTTGGAATAGTAACTGTCATAATAATTTTCCATCATAATGAATCATCCATACCAAAGACTACAATTACTTGTCTAAATTCATTCATTCATTCATTTATTCACTCATTCATTCGATCATTAACAAATATTTACTGATGCCTACCTTGTGCCAGGCTCTATGCCAAATACTGTTAAAGGATAGTTTTTATTAAGGCTTTTTTGGGGGAGGGGGCAGTTTTAGATTCACAGCAAAGTTGAGGGGAAGATACAGAGATTTCCCATATACCCTCTGCTTCTACACATGCACAACCTCTCCCATTATCAACATCCTGCGGCAGAGTGGTACACGTGTTGTGACTGATGAACGTCCACTGACGCATAACCACCCTAAGTCCATAGTTTACATTAGGGTTCACTCTTGGTGTTGTGCATTCTGTGGATTCAGACAAATGTATAATAACATGTATCCACCATTATGGTAGTATACCGGTGGTATTTTCACTGCCCTAAAAATCTGTGCCCCACCTATTCATCCCTTTACCCTTGAACTCTCATGAGACTATCAATGGATAGTTTAGCAGTGCTTTATGACATGGAAGACCTTCATGTGCAATACAATCACGTCATTATCTCCACTTTTCCTTCAGAGTCAAGAAAACACATCTGAGTGCTAGTATGATGATAGAAATAATTTTAGGTATCATGATAAATACGGCACTCTGATAGGAAAAGCCTTGAAGTCTTATTTATTATCTACAAAGCAAATCATTCAGAAACTCTGATACTTAAATGATCATTACTAACAAATCACTGGGGACCCTTTTCAGCTCAAGGTAGGAATTGCAATTGAGGTGCTATTTCTCATGGCCATGAGATGCTTTGTTGGGGTATTCAAGAGTACTATTAACCTACCCAGTAGTCTTTTGACTTTGTGACAAAAACAATTTCATTGGGCTACAATGTAATTAATGAAGGAAGTCAAGCAGTAATACTCACCAACTACTAATCAGTAGTCTCTTAGGATGTAGGAGGAACACCTGTGTTCTTCATCTTTGGCTATCCTTAAGAATCATGGGGCACCTGGGTGGCTCAGTCGGTTGGGCACCTGACTCTTGATTTCAGCTCAGGTCATGATCTCAGGGTCCTGGGATTGAGCCCCACATCAGATTCCAGGCTCGGGTTGGGAGTCTGCTGGAGATTCTCTCCCTCTCTCTCTGCCCCTTCCCTGCTCTCATGTTCTCTCTCTGAAATAAATAAATCTTTTCAAAAAATATTTTATTCATTTATTCCTCAGAGACACAGAGAGAGAGGCAGAGACACAGGCAGAGGGAGAAGCAGGCTCCATGCAGGGAGCTGGACGTGGGACTCGATCCCAGGACCCCAGGATCACACCCTGAGCCAAAGGCAGATGCTCAACCACTGAGCCACCCAGGTTCCCTCAAATAACTAAATCTTAAAAAAAAAAAAAAAAAAAAAAAAAGAAGAATCACATGAGGGCAAGGCAATTCATCAAAAAGCTAAAGTGCACTTTGGCAGCACATATACTAAAATAGCAATGATACAGAGATAATTAATATAGCCCCTGAGCAAGGATAATAGCAAATTTGTGGAGCATCCCATGTATATATTTTTTGTATCTGTATGAGATGATGGATGTTAACTAAACTGTTGTGATAATCATTTCATGGTATATGTAAGTCAGATCATTATGCTGCGCATCAATTATATCTCAATGAAACAGGAAAAAAATTAGACATAGAATTACCATATGATCCAGCAGCCTCACTTCTGGGTATATAGCCAAAAGAATCGAAAGCAGGCACTCAAACAGCTCCTAGTACACCAATATTCATAGCCTCATTATTCACAGCAGCCAAAAGGTAGACAGCCCAATGTCCATTAACAAATGAATGGTAAAAAAATGTGGCATTTCCATGCCACGCAGTATTACTCAGCCTTAAAAAGGAAGGAAATGCTGATGCGTATTTACAACATAGATGAACCTAGAAAGCATTATGCTAAGTGAAATAAACCAGTCACAAAAGGATAAATGCTGCATGATTCCAATTATATGAGGTACCTAAAAAAGACAAATTCATAAAGACAGAAGGTGGAATAGAGGTTACCAGGGCTCGTGGGGGAGAGGGAATGGGGAGTTATTGTTGAATGGATACACCTTTTGCTTGGGATAATGAAAAAGCTCTGGAAATGGATAGAGCACAACATTGTGAATGTACTTAATGCCACTAAAAGTACAAAAAAAAACCCTAAGCATACAAAATTGTATGCTTAAAAATGGCAAAAATGGTAAATTCTATGTTACAAATAGTTTACCACATACACAAAAAGAATCACCCAAGACACACTGATACCTGGGCTCTAGTCCTCAGAGATGCTAAATTTAATTGGTCTCAGGTTAGGCAGCAGTAGCTTTTGATGTATCCCTCAGGGTATTCTAACCCAGACAGGCGTAAGAAGGGATGCTTAATCTCCAGGGCAGTGAGGCTCAGCCTTGACTACACATTAGAACCATTTAGGGAGTTTTAAAATACAGTGGAGTCTGTGATTACACCCAGGATTCTTATTTAATTGGCTTGGGGCTCCTGCCTGATCACCGAGATTTTTTTTGAATTCCCTATCTGATTCTAGTAGGCAACCTAAGGCGAGAACCTTTGCTCTGGGAACACCCCAGGATCTCTGCCTTTCATTCCACTTTGGGAGAACGAGTATTTCTCTATGCTAATGATGAAATCAGGGGCAGAGTCCAAAGGTCACTTGATTCCTTCTCTTTCCCTCCACAGAGTCAGAATGCTAAAAATGGAGAAGCAAAGACCTGTAGAGGGCCCAGGAGAAAAGGGTGAAGATCCATCTATTAGGCTCACTCTTAAGAGAAAGGCTCTTTCTTGTAGGCACCTAGCTCTTAACAGCTTCTAACACAGGCAGTGCTCCCCACTTCCTGCCTTTGAATTCCTCTCTGTCCCCAGGAGGGGCTCAGAGCTGACCTGCTCAGCCAAGGCCCCAAAGAGCCAGGGCTGCTAAGAGTATCTCAATTAAGGGGCTATATTGCTGGTGCATGAAAAACTGGCCAGTTTATCTTAAAAGAATATCGAGATGGTAGACATACACCATCCTCTGTGTGATCCTGACTTACCTTCAGCCAGTTTGTCACTTATGTCTTCCATGGCATTTGTTTTTCTGTTCTTCTATATAAATATTGGCTCATTCTGCTTATTAGGTCCCATTATATCCTGCTATCTTGTTTAGGAATGCCTTAGTCCAGCCCTACTTCCTTGGAACCAAGGCCAACAAGGCCAGGGGTGAAGCAGGGATTTAGTCATGCAGCTCAAAGGCAATGTGGGATCAGGGTGGCCCCTAAAGATAAGAAGTATGGAGAGGGCAGAGGAGGCCAGTTCTGCTCTATGCCTTGAGGTAAAGTAGTGGTTCCCCATTAGCCTGTGTCATTTCATCAAGGTAAAATCCCACCATAAGGATTTTGGCTGGTCACTTGCCCAGTGGTGGTAAGTGCCTTTAATGTCTCCTATAGACATTCCCCTCTTCCATATATATGGCCCTTGGGAACCAACCCAACACTAGAAAGGGATCTTGGGGTGCCAGATCCTAGCAATCTCTGCAGACACAGTGAACAAGGGACAAAAAATATAAAACAGAACCCATGTTTTCCAGGAACCTATGATCTTGTTAAGGAGATAAGTTATATAAACATGAAAAAATGGCAAAGCAAGGTGTTGAACTTGAGGATTTCCACATTTTTAGTGCATTGTATCTCATTAGTTTTCCAGAGACTTATCAAAGGCCTAGCAATGGGCCAGGAACAAAGAGAAATAAACTTCTGGGATTAGGAATGGTGGGCCCAGAGAGTTAAAGGAATCTGAGCGATGAAGGCATGATTATTTCCTGGATGATAATGGTATCATTTATATATTTTTTTAAATGTGGCAACTGTGACTATTCCCAGTTAATGAAATTAACCTTTGCATGTGAACACACCCAGGTAGAAAGGTGGTTAAATACATTTGTGCTGGCTCTACTCCGTGCCTCCAAAGGTGACCTGTCCTGTTTTCTGGGGTGACTGATGGAGGACCTTCGCAAACTGTCACAAGATGTTAGTGATCCATTCAAAGCTCCTGATTGCTCGGGCTGTCCCTTCTGGATCTGGGAATCCCTTGGTGTGCTACCTTGAAGACACATTTGGTGGCTCAGATTAGGGGATGGGACTAGACAAGAAGTCCCCTTTAATCCTTAGGTTCTGCATAGAAAGGCATAAGGTCCCAGAGGGAGGAGACCATGTGATCAAAGACCAGCCAAGGTATTATCAGGGTAACTGCAGCTGCTCCAGGATTGAGTTAAGCAAATTAACATGTAAATACAATTTATTTGTGTGGGGCAGAGGGGCAATATTTAAATGACTGACAGGTCAAGTGGTACCATACTAGTTATTTGCTAAAGTTAGATGTTGTGAACAGCACAGCTATTTCAGGAGGGTAGGCAAACAGAGCATTACATTAAAATGCAAGTAATATTTATTTGTTAGAAGAAAGGGGAGGAGAAGTACATATTTAGTTGACCAATAGCTTAAATTATATTTAAGGTATTTAAATATTAGTTCCATGCTAAGCCTTATATGCTAATTATTAATTTGTTCCGTAAAGCCACGTCAGTGAAGACTTTTTTTTGAAACCCCCCCCTTTTTTTGTGGGAGGCTAGCTGACATTGTGAGTAAAAGGGCATTTAGTTAAATATTCAGTAATATAAATTTTTCAAAAGTGACCGGACTGAATTTTATTTAATGGGGTTTTGCCGTGTATAGATCAGAGCTCTTAAGCTTCTGGAAATTTTTATGGCATCTTAATATAGGTAAGCAATAATTATTTCATGGTAATGAGAATAACTTGAATAAGAACACATGTAGTCAGAATTCAACACATGTTGAACCCTGTAAGCTCAGAATGTCAGTCCTAAAGAGCACTCTGGCCGACTTAGCCAACACCTTTAATTTGAGATGAGAGCCCTGTGGCCTAGAGAGGTTTGTTGCCCCCTTCTTGAACCCCTACATAGTAGTTCTCAAAGTGTGGCCCTTGGACCAACAGCAGCAGCTTTTTAGAGATGCAAATTCTCAGGCCCCACCCCAAACCTACTTCATAGAAACTCTGGGATGGGACCCACACTATGTAGCTTACCAGCCTTCCAGCTGATTCTGATCCACCTGAATGTTTAAGAACTACTCCCCCACATCTTGGCTTTAACATATCTTGAGGCAGTCAGTTCCCTTAGATCTTTCTCAGCCACATAGAGAATTACTTCCTGTTTTATGTCTAAATTTATCTCCCTGAAGTTTTGAAGGGCGTGTCACACAGTCTTCACAAGTGTAGAGATACTTCTCTTAAGTTCTTTTATGGGCAACAGTGCAGGATGGGTCTCAGCAGAAGGGGAACCAAGCTGAGAGGGGAGATGAAGATAGCTGGCAGTGGGCAGAGAGTAGGGAAACAAGACCTGACCTTCCACCCCTTCCCCATTACCATTATTTGATAATTTGGTAATCCAAGATCAACTCTGAAGAGGAGCATGGTACAGTTTAGTTGGGGGTCTGAGTTTCTTTCTTTCTTTCTTTCTTTCTTTCTTTCTTTCTTTCTTTCTTTCTTTCTTCTTTCTTTCCATTAATCTATCTGAGAAAGAAAGAGTGCATGAGCAGAGGGGAAGGAAGAGGGAAAGGGAGAAGTGGGGTCCTCGCTGACCAGGGAGCCCCATGTGGGGCTTGATCCCAAGACTTTGAGATCATGACCCAAGCTGAAGGCAGACGACCAACTTACGGAGCCACCCACCCAGGTGCTCCGAGGGTCTGAGGTTCCTAAGACAACATGGAATCAAGGGAATACAGAGTGGGGGGAAAACTTGGGAGCTACACAGTAGAAAAGATGAGAATCTAGAATATTAGCCAATATTGTTCCAGAAACTCTGATTAAAAGCAAAATAGAATCAAGAAGGATCCAGCCCTCTGGGACTTGAGCATTGTTGACAAGCTAAAAAAAAAAAAAAAAAAAAAAAAGGCTCCAGATGGACTGGCTGTGATTCATGGAAGGATTCTACTGTTCCCCACTCACTCCTGCCAACTGAGTTAGCAGAGAAATCCAGGGATTCAGGATGCCCAAGAAATTGAGGATTCAGAATGCCAAGGGAGCCACGTGAGGCCACTGTTTCTAAGGTATTCACAATGCTGTTTGGAAGGATGGCACAGTGGGTGGTTACTGTCTTGTCTGCCTAGAATAGCACTCCTGTCTCAGAAATACTGCTTCTCAGTGTGGGGTTCAGTAGGAGCCGCCAGTCTCTTACCAATATGTTTCTTTAACTCAGTGATTCGCTGGAGGTAGGCATGTTGTTCCCCAAGCTTGGCCTCTGCCGGGAATTTCTGACCTTCAACCAAATGGAGAGGGTCTCAGGCTGTGTCAGGCAAAACTGGGAGGTACAAATCGAGCTGTTTGGTGGTCATGTCCCCACCAGTTGTGTGGAGGAAGCCAGTAAGACGGTGGGGAAAAGTGACTGGTACACTGAGAAATAGAAACGAGAGGTGGAGAAAAGACTGGTGCTGCTCCAGTGCCTGGTTGTAATCC